AATCCCTGTTTTGAGACCCTCCTGAGTGTTGCTGTAGGTGGAGTCTGTAGGTGGGGTGCTTGGATGTTGAACCTACTTGATAGGTTCTAACTATGGTTGTAGCCGGGGTCACTTTCCCCACAACAATGACACGTGGTCCCATCGTGGATGGTCAAAATCCACTTCGGAACAGTTGGTAAATGCCTTATCCCGGTACTGCATTGCCACCCTTTTCCAAAGAAAACGATGGCATCGGCAGATTCCTGGAAGTTCCGGGAAGCTCCGGGAAGGTTTCTCGGAGCTGGGCCCTGTGGGGGAACATTTTTGGGGACCGCTTTGAGATACCTGGTTTGTTCAACTTGCGGTTGAGCAGTCACCCCCCCACTCTTTCAAGCCCTGATTCGGCAGTTTTTGGACTACCTGTCTGCCCCCCAACCCCTCAACCCCCCCAAACCCCCCCCACCCCAACCCCCCCAACCCCCAAAACCCCCCCACGCACCACAGCACCAGACAGCACCAGACAGCACCAGACAGCACCAGACAACCCCCCAAACCCCCCCAAACCCCCCCCAAACCCCCCCCAAACCCCCAAAAACCCCCCAAAAACCCAAAAAAAAACCCAAAAAACCCCAAAAACCCCCCAACCCCAAGCCCCCCCCCCACCAGCTCCCCCCCTGGCCTGGCTAAAGGCCATGGCCGTGATCTTCTCCGGCAGCGAGGCCCGGTAGCTGGGGCGCTTGGCACCCCAGTCCCAGACCTGCCACAGCGCCTTGCTCGCCTGCGGGTGGGGTGGGGCGGGGCGGGGCGGGGCGGGGCGGGGCGGAAACATCTAAACCAGTGAGAGAAATAAAAATGGGACCTGCAAAAAATGAATCACTTTTTGGGGGTTGAGTGGAAAACACCTTTATTTCAACCAAAAAGCTAAAGTCTCAAGATCCAACCCAATAGCAGTCAAGTTATCTACATGAGGGCACTCCCCAAAATTGGTGGCTCACCCTTCAGACCAACACTCAAATTGCTTTTGTTGGGCAAGCGAAGGCGCTCAAGCGGTTAGCTGCGGCTTGCACAGCGAGTGCTGGCGGCGTTGTCCCAAACGTGGGCCTTGCTTGCATGTCTGCAGTTCTTTCGGCAGATGCTGCGTAAGAACCGGTGATGGCCTGCCCCCAGAGACGTTGCAGCCACAGATGCTTGCCTGGAAGCTCCTTCCAGTTCATCCGATGACTGGGCATTTCAGGAAAACTTACACACAGAGAGACATATCTGGGCAAGACCTCACTGCGCACAAAAACTGAGAGGCCTAGATGTCCTTTCGGAAAAAAGATGGCACGAGGAGATGACTAAAACCATGCAGAAACCAGCGTGGGGCGAGCGGGCACTTGCACGAATAGACAGATTGGACAAAATGATTGGGTAGATGCTTGGTGAATGGATGAGAATGAGTAAATGGTTGCATGCATGCCTCCTCGATGAGCCCTTGCCAAGGGCGGAGTCAAACCTTTGCTTCAATTTGTTTCAACATATTCAAACCACCTTTGCGTTTGGCAGCATCCTTTTGAAGGGGCCCAAAAATCTGAGTGTTTCAGCCCATTTGCCCCCACAAGAATCAGAATCAGCCTGTACCGCATAGATGTGGCCAGCGCCGCTGTCTACGCAGCCGAAGGCCTGGGCTAGGGGCTCAAGTTTGAAGTGGGTGTTTTTGTGGGTGAAGCGACTCTTTTCAGGTTAGTTTAAAGGGAAAACCCAAAAGGAAAACCCACCCGTTTTTTTGGTGGTGTCCCATTTTTCCACCGTACCCAAGACCCTGGAAACCAAGATGAGAGGATTGGCCTTTGGTCACAGGAAAAGATTGGACCTCCAAGCAGAATCAGCCGCCACCCTCACCTGGTTCAGATAGCGGGACGTTCAAAGTATAAAAAAATAAAAATAAAAAAAAAATGTATGCCTTGTTTTGCAAGAGTTCCAAACCTGAAATAAGAATTGGATCCCCCAGTAAAGGATCTTCATCATGGTCTTCGCTCGTTTTACCCCATGGCACACCAGAAACTCCAATGCTGTGGTGCCAGCCACAGGAACAAAGAGGCAATCGAGGACAAGTCAGTTCAGGGAGGCTCGCCTGAAGTCGCACAAGCCACCCCCCAACCGGCCAGGAAGGGATCTGTGACAAGCCGGCCGTCATCCTTACTGTTTGACGTCAACAAAAATCCTTGTCCACTCAGAGAAAGTGAGAAAATGGTCTCAAACTCCTTGGCCATGTTCCTGAGAGGGTCTGAGGGCAGCGACCGACGACCGACTTGGCCGCGGCGCGGTGCCCACAGCGCCGGCGTCCTCATAGCTGGCCACCAGCGCCCCAGACCTTTCGGTGAACGAAAGTTTGGCGCCACTGGTCTGGCGTGCACATATAAATGCAGCTCAAGCCCACCAAACCAGGTTTTTTTGAGGGGGGGGGGGTACCCTAGATACATGTATATATATATATACTGTATATAAATATATACATATATATTATGTTATATATCTACTGCAAGTGTACGTATAGTGATGCGAGGTGAGCTCATCAGAATTTGACCAGATGTTTGGGCTCCTCAGAATTTCTCCAGGTGTTTTCTGGGCAAACCAGAGACCCTTTGCCGGGACAGCTTAAAACGGAAGCCAAGAGACCAACCATCTGCCAGGATGATCCCCTTTGCTTGGCACACTCCAAGAGGATCAGCCACCAGTCTCAAAACAGACGGGCCCCTGTAAGGATCAGTCTCACAACAATCTGGACCCCTGTTGAAATGTTTGGCCACAAATGTACAGATTCTTGAGGGAACTATGACCTCCTGAAACTCACCTTTGCTTTCTGGTTCTCAGGACATCAGGGAGGGGCCCCATAAACCATCTCTTGTCATTCAATCCCCTTCCGGGGCATTCCCAGTCCACTGCATTGAGACCCAGCCTCAGATCTGTTGCAAGAAGTCCGTCCCCATGCGCCGCCAGCACCACTTCGCTCATGACGAGCAGAGGCCGTAGCCAGACCCTTGTTGGGCTGCTTTGATTTGGGGGGGGACCAATTGGTAAACAAGTTAGAGGTCCCAAACTTTGAGAAACACCGATTTGGAAGATGAGGTTCATGTTGGTTTCCTTTTGAAAAGCAAGGGTATGTCCAAACAGCCTGTGTGTGAAAATTCCTGCAACAGGTTGTTCAGGCACATACCAAGACACACCAAACAAGTGGGGTGGCATGTTTGTTGCAATTCAGTTTTCTCATGCTTGGGGGTATCTGTGTGTTGTTTGCATTCGAGGCACCAAAACATGAGTCTAATAAGCAAGCTGAGCCAAGCCACACGCTAGTGTGGCATACGGTGGATGCCCTTAGAACTGCAAGCAGTTGAACAAGGGAAGGCTGGAACTGACCGCGATTCACAGAAACTTTTTGTGGTTGGATGCTTCACTTGCAATATGGGTATGAGTTGCTCCAGTTGTGCACCCTTTCTGGTGAACATTGCTAGCACGGCAGTGGGGTATGTTCAACTATATCCAACCTTCAAAGCTAAGCTCGCCATCGAATCGGCGAGTCCGTAACTTGAGCCAAGAGCTGAACCAGGCGAGCCAAAAGCAGAAGTTGCCAACGAGACCTACGAAAGAGCTGAACCAAAAGGCATGTTCGGATCCCCCATTTTCGGATTTCGCTCAGATTGACTGCGACAAATGAGCCAAACTTTACTCAGTCGCGGATGCAAACATGCTGTGGCTGCACAACGGGATGGACAAATTCCTAACAATGCTGATTGATAAACCACCCAGCTGGTGCAGGAACTTTGGCCACAGATTCAGCCAAAGGTTCAAGGTCCAACCCAGCAGTTTTTCCCAAGTACGCCTCACACCCACAAGCTCAGCTGTGAATTTGCGTCTTGGGCGCGGAGATTCTCTCATGAGATGGCCACCGCTTCGAACATGTTTCACACAAATAGCCGCGAGGGCGGCCCCGAAATCCAACCTGTTTTTGCCTGCTGAGGGAACAAAAAGCTGCTTGGGAAGAGAAAAGCTACTTAGGGGACATGAGAAACCCAGGGTACGCAAGCACGGAAAGCAAGAAAGCCGAACCTACCGGGGGCCAAGATCGCATGTCCTTTTGGAGGGTGCCCATGTTGCAGGTGGTTTGAAGGAAAAACAAAGGGAGACCAACCCTTCTGAAGCTCCCGAAACTTGGAGACCAGCGGCGATTCGAATCGACACACCGCCCTCCGTGCTTTGGAAATGAGACTAGGTCTTGACCGAACGAATTCGACCGGGACCGGGTCAGAAAAGTAACGTGGTTAAATTTGGGAAAATATGAAGGAACGTCCAAACCTGGCCCACAAACAGATCTGGACACCCAAAAGAACTTCAGATGTTCTGCTTCATGCTTCGTCTATCCTAATAAAATAGACAAAGTCGGAAGGACGAGGTGAGTCCAGTTCCAAATTCAGCGAAACCCCTCCCCATTGCAAGCTCTCACCTGCCCGGACCCCAGAGTACGGCGGGGGCAACTCAACAGCCGGCAGGAGACTAGATAGGGTGAAGTGTGAATATGTTTGGTTGACCCGTTAGATGGGCTCCAACATATCAATTTTGGTACACCCTTTTTGTTCCGGACGCGCGAAATCACACATGACCGTCCTGTGGTGCAAGTGATTGGAACTCGTTTAGAAGAACCTTCCGGATATTTGCACATATCTCCAGGATCTCTAAACAGCGTTCCCTCAGCACCTTCTGTTTCTTAGCACTTTTCACTGGCCTGCCAGCCCCCCTCCAAAAAAAAAAGGACAAAACACATCACAAACTGGGGGCTGCCCCTTTGCGACGCCCTTTCTGAAACCCATCGCTTGCCAATATTTGTCTTTAGGGTTCCCTCCCTCTTTACCTCGATTTGTAGCGAAGCCAAAAACCGAAATGGAAAGCCACCCATGTTGGGGTGTGTCCGATTGCCTATGTTGACCGAATTAACGGCAAAAAAAAAATGAAAAGAAGGAAGGAAAAAAAAGAAGACCTGCGCCGGCCTGCAGGGGCGGGGCCATGTTGGAGGGGTACTTGAAGTCCTCCAACTCCCAGGGCATCTTGTAGCCTCCCAAAGTCACATGCCCGACGACGGGGCAGCCGTGTGCGGAACGGACCTGGGGCACTTTCGCGCCTTCCAAACTATTTGCCTTGAACCCTTTTTTTCCTTTGACAGAATCCGCTGGTTCCAGTTCAACCCTTCTTATGGAGGTTGGATCACCCTCTTGGTGGTTCCATAAGATGGTGCTCCCTCCAGTTAAATCTCAACTCTTGGGTTATTGTTGAACTGTCCTTTGACGGAATCGCATTGTCACCGTGAGGAGGCTTTAGACTGGTGAAGCACGAAGATCCTTTGGCGGTAAGAGCGTTGAGATCCCGAGAAAAAGAAGAAAAACAAAGAGACGAGGCGTTGCCAAGAATGTGGCGGGTGAACGAGGCAAACATCGCTTCAAAAAAAGATGCGGGAAATGCAGCCTGGTCTTGCAAAGTCTTGCACCCTGCACGCTCTCATGAGTTGTTTCTCAAGGCAAGTGATCATTGACGGGTGAAGCGTTCATGTGGAAAAATGCGTGCAGGATTCTACACTGCCCGTTAAACATCTGCCACCCTGCCTAAGAAGAGCCACTACTTGAGATGCTCGCAAAGCTTGAACGGAGGCACTTGCGAGATTCTCCAAATGGTCGTTGTTATTTTCTGAACATGGGGGGTTGTCCGACAACCATTCTTGCAAACGTTGCCCATCCGACTCTTACGGACAGGTGTTTGAGGGTCCCCCCCTCTTTCGTGTTCAAGGGCCGGGCGATCTGGCTTCATTGGAGACGTGACCCAAGCCCATCACCTAGCCAAGCCCCCACCCTTCGTCCACTAGACTTCAGCCCTGCGGCCATAAGGAAAATAGGGCCCCCATTCATCATGGGTCAACCCACCCCGCGCAACGCAAGACGCTCCCAAAGAAAGGGAAAATGGGCGCCCCTGGCAATGCAGACGCTTGAAATGAGCGATCCTAAAAGCACCCCCCCAACAACAACGAAAAACGCAACTCGACAAATGGGACCCCCCGCCAAAAAACAAAACAAATGTGGTTGTCCTTTTGGCTTTCAATGAAACCTTTTGACTCAACACTGAAGGGGCCATCTTGGCTCGTATTCCAAGGGGCAAAGGACAATGCCAACCACAAAACGGCTCGTGTTGGTTGTTGGTTGGCAACTGCCATGTGTCAGTCCTCCGGAGATGTTTGTTTCTTCCTTCTTCTTTTTTGTGGGGGCAAGGAGGCGAGCCCGCCTTTTGACGTGAAAAGGGAACAAGGAGAAGCCTGCTGGGTATGAATCTTCATGCCCCGTTGTTGGACACCAGTTGGGGACTTATGCCCACCAACTAGTTCATCTCTACTCTTGGTATGGGCTTGCAAAAAAAATGACTGTTTTTGCAGCCCAGTAAAAATGAACAGAACCAAAAAACAAAAAACGAAACATAACAAAAAACGTGCTCCAAGAACAGCGAAGAGTTTTGAAGGGTTCCCTATTGACTTTCCTAGCCTCTGGCGGGCTCTCAAGCACCCTGGTGACTCCCCCAGCCACCGCTTGCGCCAAAAGCGCCTTGGGTCAGGGTCACGCGTCCCTCAGTGGCTGCCTAACAAAAAAGATACGCGTCCCAGCCCCAAAGCGATGGGTGCTTGGATGGCAAGTAACTCTCAAGCCCTGTCAAAGGTGACTTCCGAAAATGTACAAAATCAAAGCAGCGGAACGCCGCAGCCTTTTGCTGGTTGGGAGTTGGGACCTGCCCCCTACGGGCAAGCGACAAAGTCATGCCTAAGTCGCTGTTCCCCCATGTAACCAAGAAGTGACTCCTAAGTCACGCCCCGGCAAAAATCCCCATGCAACGCAAGACATGATCATGCTTCAAAAACACAGGCATCAACACTGAAACACAATTGAACGCAAATGATGGAAATGCTTATGTTGCAGCCTCACAAGGCGTCGGCAGCAACATGAAAACCATTGGAACGCTCAGGATACCAGAAGTCGTTGCAGGAGAGTTTCGGTTCAACTAGATATGCCTCAGAAGCCATGCAATGCCAGCCCGCCCTTGCACAAACTGCCCTTCCATCTACAGTTCGGAAGCTGCTCCAAACCAGGAAGTGTGTACCTATCATCAAATACTTCGGTTTGAGTTTAGCCGCGCCTTCGAATTGGGCGATTTCCAGGGCAACCCTTTTCGGGGCATCGCGCATGCCTGGGATGTGCAGGTTGCCGGTGGCATAGCCCGCCACGGCCGCCACGACCTCAGCTGCAGCTCGGGGCCAAGGGCCGTTTGCTCTTGGCCCGCGGGCAGAAAATGAGTCAAGGTCCTCCAAATATGAGCGCTTAGAAGAAGGGTACCCGATTTATTTTATGTTTTTCTGTAGTCAGATTTTGGAAAGGGGAACCCTCCCCAAAAAAAGTTGGTAAATGAGCTATATGTGTGTGTGTGGACCAAGAATACGGGAACGAAATAGAACCCTGGTGAATGGAAACAAGGACTCAACCCGGTCCCCTGCTAGTGCTTTAATTTTGACCCATACCCATATACAGTGAGCCCAAACTGAACCATCCCTCCTTCAGCTTCCCTTTTTGGTGCTTTGGAGCCCGGTGGTGTTTTTTCCTGTTTTTTGTGTTCGGGGTGGTTTCCCATGTACCCTTTAGAAGAACCAGGGATCCAAGCAAGGGTCCTCCAAAGGCCGCTTAGTTCTGTGCGGGCAGCAAAACAGATCAGCCTAAAGCTAGAAGCAACATGCATACGCAGCACACATGAGGAGCGAAGCACGACGAATGCAACTGAACGCAATTAAAATAAAACGTGCAAATAAAGACGACCAATGAATGAACGAACGAACGAACGCGAATGAATGAACGCGAATGAATGAATGAATGAATGAATGAATGAATGAATGAATGAATGAATGAATGAATGAATGAATGAATGAATGAATGAATGAATGAATGAATGAATGAATGAATGAATGAATGAATGAATGAATGAATGAATGAATGAATGAATGAATGAATGAATGAATGAATCAGCAAATACATAATCTAAAAAATGGAATAAACAAATGAATCAGCTAATGAATAAATACTAAATCCCTTTGGCATCCATCACTTCCAACTCTCTCTCACCCTCTTGGGCCCCCAGCCAGCGAGCCTTTGCCCGTACTCTCGCCGTCACGGATGCGTCCGCCAGCGCCCGTCTCGGCGCCTGGCGGAGTGCGAGTCTTCCCAAAGGTACTCGTAGTGAGTCATGATCAACACCCCGTAATACAAAAAAACGATTCCCCTGTAAATACCAACAAACCATGGTTTCCCATGGGTTCAGAGTGGTACAGGATTTTGTCCATCCACAGTATCTTTTGGCATGCCCTTTAAAAGGCGGAAGCGAGTCATAATCAAAACCCGGTAATAAAATGGTCGAAATGCCAGAACCATGTAAAGGATTCACAAGGCGGATATCCGCAGCTACTTCTGGTTGGGATTGTCCATACCTTCATCTTCCCGGGTTTTGATTGTGGCTCAAGTGAATCCAAACCTGGTAGTGAGGGGGACCCAACACAAAGAACCAAGAAAGGTGGACGTACGAAACGTTGAACCCGGATGAAATAACTCCAAGGTTATTCATAAGAGTCATTTTCTGGGTTTAGTGGGGAATCATCACTGTGGAACACACACCACTGCAGGTAGGATGGGCATATTAATCCCAGGTCAACATTGCAAGTGTCAAGTGAATCAAAGCCTGGTACCAAGGAAGTTTACCAAAACCCAAGAGCGCACAAAGAACCAAGGCGGCCGCACCAAATAGCCCGCTGTCCCCTAACCTTCACTTACCCGGGGTTTGATTGTGGCTGTCGAGGAAATGTCCACTTACGCTCGCTTGATGTGCAAATGGTCGTTTTTGATGAGAGCCAGCAGTATGGTAACCTTTTCAAGCCGGAACGCAGTCACTGCTGACCTGTTCGAAGGGGCGCATCAGCTTGGGAGTTATCATATTCACCCTGAAAGGGGTGTTCTTCTGATAGGCTTGCAATCCCCCGATTCACAGCGCCTGAAGGCTTTGATGGGCCGGAGAAAAAGAAAATCCACAAAATCCTAATTGAAGGAGAAACAGAAACCCGAGCTCCAAGATGGATGCTGGGCAGTCATTGCAGTTCCATGATTCTTGGGTCAAAACATCACCACTGCTGAAATGGGGGGGAGTCTTGCAACGCGGTACCTGCACGGTGAGGCCATCTGTGCCATCCAGTATCTGGCATCCTCCAAAAACAAACGCTGCCCGGCAAGCAAGTGGATCGTCTCGATGGGAATCGCCAGTTGATGTCTTCACTTCATCTGTCGACGTCTTCATCTGGGCCCAGATGTCCACTCCCCCCCAACCCCATTTGCACTCACCCCAGCCCTGACTCGCTCCCTCTGCCCTTCCGGTTCCCCGCACTCCCCCCCGCGCCTGGGAAGGGCGCGATGCCGCAGGGGAAGTTGTGGGTCTCCACCGTCAGCGTGATGTCGTAGTCCTTGGTCACCTGGCGGTGGCTCAAAATTCAGGAGCTAGGGTTACACAGGTGCTGGTCCATGTTTCCACTTACCAGGGTTCCATTTTGGTACCTATTCTTGACCCACAGCCACCTGCGAAGGCCACGGGACATCCTGCTCGGCGCCCGGCGCGTCTTTTGGTTTAGGAACCGGGTTTGCCCCACAAAGTGCCAGGGTGTCCCTTCTTGGCGTCCGATTGAAGCTACAAAAAAAGGTCCCTCGAAAACAGACAGACCCTGTGAATCTGAGTCGGTGACACTTTAGCGGATGTCGTTTACATGAGGATTTATGTCCAATCAGTTTGGAGAGCATTCCCCAAATGATCCAGAGCCACATGAGCCTGTCATATTTGGGTAAGTGTACCCCCGCTGCAAGGAGCCACTCGCCCATTGAGACCGTGATGATATGCTCCGTTTGAGTACGGCATGAACACCCATCAGATTCATTTCAGTTGGCCAAAACTCCATGTTTGCTGGTCTCAAACTGGAAAAACCCGAGAAACGAAAACTGTGCAGCATGTTTTGTTTGCTGCTGTGGCACCCCCCAGCAAAGTCCTTCCAAACCAACCAGCACAAGCCTCCTTCATCTGGCCCGGCCCTGCCACGGCGGCCGGCTGGAAGGCCGTGTGGGCAGCGCCTGTCGAATCCAGCTGGCGTTAAGAACGCTTTCACCGCGGGAATTCTAGGCTGTCCTCAGATCCCGCGCTAAAAGTTTAACTTTTAGTGGGTGAAATGGAAACCCAGCCACAAAGCCAACGCTCAGGATCTAAAAAGCTAAGGAACTGAATGGCCATAGGTGTCCTTTTAGGGCAAAGAGATGGCCCTGGTAGATGATTAAACCGCCAGGTAAACCAGAAAAAAACCATCTATTATTCTACCAAAACAAACAAAAAGGACACCTATGGATCGTATCCTTTGGCATGCGCTTTGCGGAAGAGGAGTCAGCTATCACTTTGACAACATCCTGAAGAAGATTATACTTTTTGGACCGAAACCATCAGATTTGTCGAAACAAGGGGCCCTCTTCGGCATTGAGAGAAGGCGGGAGAGAAAAGAATCGGCCATCACTTAAAAACGACATCTGCGTTCAAGGCTCAGGCCCGCGCTGTTGTCCTCTTTCTCTCACTCTTCATCTCTGTGTTCTTGATTTGGCAAATGAACTGACCTTCTGAGTTGACCGATCAGAAGAAGCTCAAACTTGTTGGGCATTGGGGAAAAAGTAGTTTAAAAAAGAAGCCTAGAAAGAAGTACAAAGAGCTTGCAACCAGGGAACTGAATGTTCTGTGCCCCCGTTACGCGCCAAGAAAGAAGAAGAAGAAGAAGTGGTTCCTTCAGGAAACCCCTTTCAACCAGCCAAACAAATACGCGTTCCAAAGAAGAAGTCAATTGCCCAACTGGCAATACCAAAAGGTCAAAGATCGGCTTTGGGCATCTGAGCCCACCCCAACCCAGTTGGCAATTCAGCCCCGGAGGCTCCAGATATCTGCCCGCTCCGCACCCGGCCTCTCAGGGCACTGCTGTTGTCGTGGAAGCCGATGACACTGTTGCCTCAGCCAAATGCAACCGGCCGCCCAAATGAGCAGTGCCTGTTTGACCCATTGACTCTTGGTTCTAAGATGGTTATAAATATTATGTTTTTGGGCCTTACCAGAACCAATTAACTCGACCAGGCAGTAGAAACACCTAAGACGCTTTGGCCCAAATGTTGACCCCAAATGGCTACCTGGACCCTCAAGCCCTGAAGGGGGGAAACACCAGCAAACAAATAAGATCCAGAACCCCTTCAAATGGGGCGCACGTGTCCCTGCTATATTGATCAACAAGGAGTGCATTCATCCTGGCAAACCAAACAAGCAGCCAAACTGACTTCTGACCAGCTTTTCCTAAGATGTGCCCGCCAGGGACCTCGCAACCTTGTCGCCCCTGCTCTTGGAATCGGCAAGCTATGATCACACCTACCCAAAGCAATGCAAATTGGGATGTTCCCTTCGAACCAGAGGGTACCCATTTTGGGATAGTTTCAAAGGGAAACCAAAAAGGGAAAACCAAAGCCATTTCGGGTTCCCCTAAAAAAGACACAGCTTCACTTGCCGGGGTTTTCGTGGCGCCCGGGCAGGGGCTCAACCCCAAGGAACATCCCAGAAAGATCCTGAGAAGGCAGTTGCTTCGCCACCAAACCGGATTCCGGCTTCGGGTCTCAGGTTCCATGTTTTACATTTCAAATTTGGCCGAGTTTGACACAGAGTCTGAACATATTATTTCACAATTTTCACACTGCAATTGGGCCAAGTTTTGAGAATGACTCCCATCGACTAGGGTCCATTTTCCCTCCCGCGCCCCCC